TCACAACATTATGGGCCGATTTCCCGGACAGGGATTAAGTCTGGTCCAAGACTATGGTGCTTTTTAGTGGATATTTCCAGTGAATTCTGTCTTCAGTCTAAAGCCGGAGATAAACTTGCTGTCTAACCATGCGTTTGCGTCACGGACACAAAAAACAGTCCAAACGGATACGCGGGATACGCAAGTGAGCCGTCATGCGTAAGCGAACGTGTAGTTAAAAGCAAGTATATCTCCGGTCTAAAACTAGTCTTAATCCCTGTCTGAAAAACTGGCACCAAGACTTTCAACCCGACATCAGATTTATGTTGCGTGACAACAACTCTCTCTCTCCTTCATATTTGTATTCTTTATAAAACCAGAAATAAAAATAATGGTAATTCTCAACCTTTCCTAAGAAGATTCTTTAAGTTCTACAGCCTCAAAACTGTTTCAAATACAGCTCTCACATAATTGAATAATGACCATGTTTTACTACAGGGTGTGGACTTCAAAAGAATTTCCCCAAAGAGACTACCAGGTTAAAGGACAGAAAATGAATAATGTGTTGTGGCTCTACTGTCATGACCTGTAATAAGGGCTTTTTTATGTCCTTTGGCAAATCTGTGGCATAAATAAACATTTCCGAGACAAAAGAGCCCGATTCTCCTTCTGTCTCTGTGGAGATGAGAATAAGCGCAGGGGAAGGAGGGCTGCCGCCTCTCTGATGATAATAATAGCAGGTTTCGAATGGTAATTGGTCTCTGCTCCCTCCTCTGTCTACCTGGCAGAGGGCATTGCAAAGGGTGATTCAAGCACTAGGCATGAATGGAAAACTCTTGAAGGAAGGCCGCGCACTCACGCACCGGTACCTCCAAGAGAGCCAGGGTCCGCCTCATTCATCCTCCACGTACGCCAACACATGCAGGCAAACACGCGAAACACGCACGTACCCCTCATCCTGTCAGACACAAACATCCATCTCGCCCTGTATGAGTGACGTGACAGAAATGTTTACAGGCCGCGGCAGCTATTTTGTGACCATCATTCAGATGAAAGATCGACAACAAACAGCTGACCTGTCAGCTGAACTATTTGATTACCCCTTGGTGCCAGAGAGACCCCTAATACAGGCTGTCCTATCTTGAAAGAGGTCATTTTTATCAAACAGGGCATCATCTGTAACCAATAGACGGCCTCCTCTTACGAAATGAGAGCCTGCTCGACAGATGTCTCCTGCCTCTCTTACTCTCTCTTACTCCCCATTTACATCCACATCTTAGATGGCACTTCTTGACTTAAGTCAGGATCAAGGTTGTTTACTGATTCTCTGGGTAATATCAGGAACATGTGGTGGGGGGCACATGAAAGGAACTCCACGGCGTGTTAACACCCACAACCCCCTGTACATGTTTGTTTTGGGTTTTAAACAATAGTTTCAACATGAAATTAAGGGGACCTGCTTCCGGAGGTTTGTCTCAAGGTGACACAGAACAGAAGCTGAAGCTCGAGATGTTTTCACAAGGGGCCTAAAACGTCAGTGCTCTCTAACATTACAGTCAGATCAACTTGTTAATGAAACTATTGGAGGCGGTATATTTGTATGAGTCATATCTACTAAATGTCTTTTTTAAGTACAATATCATGACTATACTCTTAAATAGCTATGACAAGCAATAAACAATATGTCAAAGCCTGGTGCAGCACAAAAAGCTGCACCAGAAGATTACTACTATATACACAAAACCTCTGAAGGTTTCAACAACGTTTCAACTAATTTGTAACACCTGAAGTGTATTCCATACATTTCCACTTTCCTTTTTGTCCTGGCTTTTTGCAGATTTCCACACTTAAGACACTTTGTGGCTATAATTCCACTAAGTCTCAGGCTTTGCTGTTGTGACCTTCACTGGATTTATTGCTGCGGTTGAGTCCCACAGTCTCAAACCTGATATCATATGTGTTATGCTAATGTTGTGTAGTTTGCCCACTCCATGTAGGAGAAGGTGGCAATTTAAAGAGATTTAAAGAAACTCTTCTATGAAATATAAAGGTTTTATAGATGGTGATCTCTCCTTTGTTCTTCCAATGAGGACCTCCACCTGTTTCTGATGATGTGAGCCAGAGCCTGTCCCTTTCAAGAGGCTGATCCCTCCTGATCTCTTTGATGTAACCTGACCTAACAGTTCCAACTAGCAGGATTTGATGATCACGGATGGACCCTCGACAACAGCATGTGCAAATCAAAACTAACAGGCATGGGGAGACGGACGATGGGGATGTGTGAGCAGAACTGGCAGGCTGCGCAGACAGAGAGCGCTCGCAGAGCTATGATGTGTCTAAACGCCAGGCAGGCAACGGTCACATGATCAATGCTGCCAGCCCAGACTTAAGCAGTAAAACCTGTGGATCTGTGAGGGCACATGCAACTGATCGGAGATGAAAGACAGGCTTTGACTTTCACAGGAGGCCTGGAGTTGGGGTGGGGGCTACGGGGCTACGGGGGCACTTCTGAGGGACTGCCATCAGAACAGCTGGGTCATTTTCAAATGACCTAAATCTAGGATTAATCCATTCGGACTTGCATGGTTAAATTTGTGTCTACACTACACACAGACGATGGGAGGCAGAGAAGAAAGAGAGAGAGAGAGAATTACCAGTGAAAGCCAGAAAGGCTTAGCACTTGGAGTTCAAACAAGGTGCACAGTAGAGAACAAACCACTGCGCCCAAACAGTAGCAGAGATAACCAGTGTTTCTAGCTCTGTCTCGTACTGTAAATTTAACACAGAATCCCTCCCGTTCGCTCTCTGAATCTACACATTCAGATCACTCGAAGTTCGAGCATCTGCAGCTCACGCTTCTCACTCGCTTGGGTCAAAGGACGTTTCGACACACCGCCGGGGCATCTCTTCATGGTAGTGGGTGTGTGTCAGAGGCCAGCGTCCATCTGCGAGTGATTTAAGGGTTACATTTTTGGGGATGACGTGTGATAAAACAGGGAGGTATGGGTCAAAGTGACTAGGCTCAATCTGTGACAGAGCCTCTCCTCCTGGGCCCTACCACATGTTTTAATCTATACGAGCATCTGTTTGAAGTTCCTCAATGAATACCATCAGTCCGGCTGGTGACTTCATATCCATCTTACCTGGCTCAGAACAGTACAGAGGCTTGAGGCTCTTCTTCTGATAGGATGTGAAGCAGTTTTACAGTTATGATGTTGTGTTCAGGGCATCTTCTAAAATTCTCTGCTGGCGGAGGAATTATATCATGACTTATGCTTACAATAATGTCTTGTCACACAAATGACTATTCCCATAGGCAATCAAACGTTAAAAAATGCTTCAGTGAGGGAAAACTGATCAAACTGATCATGAATCGATGATTCTAACTGACAGACACAACTTACATCTGATATTTAAAGAAACAGGGCTCTCAGTGCCCCGACATGAGGCCCTCGCACTCCAACATTACTGCCAAAGCTTATACTGCATCAATAAGACCATATCAATAAGCTACCTGAGTCTGTGCTTTACGGCAACTGTACCTTAGCTCACGCACTGTCCCCTTAAAGAGCTTGTTGCTTCATGCAAACATTTAGGCTACAGGTAGACTATTACAAAAGTAGAAATGCAAAGTGCATTAATAGTTAGTAGAATCAAAATTATATGTCAGTCTGTTTAGCATGGTAGGAAGGAGCTCAATCAAAGACAAAAGTCACCAAAACACCACCATGAAGTATTACCTTGATGATTAATCACTTTGGGTCTGCAGGCTGCACTTTAACTTAAATGTGTCCTCAAAATGAGAGGTTGTTCAGGGGAAGCCCACCTCAACCGTAACGAGCCATTCCTGTGTTAAAAAGTTGGCTCCCCGTCAGAATTCTCTGCTCGACTTAAAATATACAGTAGACCAGGAAAGTTTGGAAGAGACTGAAGGAGGGACGGAGGAGGCAG